CCAGCCTCTGGCACAGCTGTCCACGCCTGGGGGTCCCCTCCAAGGCGGCAGTGGTGGGGTATTGCTGAGGAAGGTCCCGCTGGGTGCAGGGGGTCGGCCCCCTCGGGTATTGCTGGGCGAGCAGCGGGCAGCAGCTACCTGGTGCTCTGCAGCTCCTCCCGCAGCCAGGTGGGCAGCGTCTGCCCCATTTTGTACAGCAGCTTGGAGAGCTCGATGTTATGGTCCCTGTAATAGTCCCGCAGGAAGGCGCGCGACTGCAATGCGAGGAGAACAGAGAGGAGGGTCAGGGGGAGCAGCCCTGAGCCCACCACCCCAGCACAGCTCCCCCAGCCCTGCTCAGGAGCATCCCGGGAGGCTTTCTGCATACTTACATCCGAATCCATCTCGGGGTACTTCCTCCCTTTGCTCTTTCCCAAGCATTTTGTTTTCCCTCCATCCAGAAGCTGACACCAGAATCCTTTCTTGGGATCAAACCTGTGAAGCGAGAGCTCTGCCTCACCCCTCCTGCTCCTCCATGCCTGCCACAGGCAAGCACGCTGCCCAACAAGCCCTGCTGCTGCCCAGCCCTGCATGGGGGCATTTCTCCATCTCTTTTTAATTCGCAGCCCAGCTAACATCTCGTTATCGACCCCCTTGTACAGCAGGTTCCCTGTACAGCTGCACAGCAAGCAGCCCGACGAGGTTCATTCCTCACCACGTCACCCTGCTGAGGGAGCACAGGAGTCTACACAGGTTTAATTATTATTTTCTGCAGCACCTTCGGCCCTGGATGCCCCACAACAACTGGGTGCAGACTCAGAGCATCCACATATAGAGGCAAGAGCAGCGCAGAGGTAAATTATCATTTTTCTAGGACTTCTGGAGTCTCCTGCTTCCTATGATGGGTTTTAATGTCTGGAAAGCTCAGAGCAAGGTGACACCCATGGAGGTGCCACACGGCAAGCAGCAAGAGCTGCTCTCTGCAGCGAGTGCACGAGGAGCTGGGGTTCTGGAGCTCAACTAAATGCACCTTTGGATGAACTCTGCTCCAGGAGTCCAGAGCTGCTCCTGGGCTGCACGGGGTGACACCACCATCCCCCCGCCACGGTGCCTGGATAAGCCCAGCAAAGTAGGGTGCTTGTTGAACGTCATTTCTGATTGCAGCTACCCCAGTGTAGGTCACAGCAACAAGGAGCTGCTGTTCTGGCCTCAGGTGAAAACCCGTTCTCATCAAAACGAGCAGCAGCTCTGCGGTGAGCCCCAGCGCTGGAGGCTGCCCTGGGACAGTGCTGGGTGTCCCCGGGGACAACTCGCCACCAGGCTGGAGGAAGGAGAAGCTCAGGGAAGGACTCACGCCAGGGTCTTGTGATAATCGATGAAGTTGGTCACACCGAGGAATTTCTGGACTGTCTCCATCACTTTGGCGGGTTCCGTTCGGAGCAGCTTGCCGTCCAGGACCAGGATCTGGAAGGAGCAAGGCAGGGCAGTGAGGTGCCGATGGCTCCCAGCCCCGCTCTCCTGGGGCACGACGCTGCCTTCACCACATCTTTTGCCATCTTGGAGCCAAATTTGCCACCAGCCAATGCAGAGTCCACTTTTGAATGCTAACATGCCCCGGTGTTCACTTACGCTGGGTGTTGGAAAATTAAATGCAAATAAAAGCCAGGGCCAGGATCCATCCAGGACAACATCAGAGCTTCGGCTCAGGGCCACCCAACCCACAGCCAGCCAGGATTGCATTACAGCAATTATGCCAGAAGCAGACAACTAATAGACTTTATAAGGTTAAATGACGGTGGAAAAATCATTCAGGGACTGAGCCTGTACACTGCCAGCAGCGCTCCACTCCGCGGGTCACAGTGGGGCTGGGAGCCCCCCCCCCCGAGATCGCTGCAGCGCCCCCCCCCCAGCCCCCATTTTCCCTGCGGGCAGCCTGAATCACGGGCAGCTTTGCGCACTATTTCTGTCCTGCTTCGATGCCGTGGTGACACCAGACAGGGCAGCCCCGCAGGGGTCTGTGGCTGACAGCGCCGGGCGAGCAGTGGGTGCCCCTGCAGAGCCACCCGCAGCCCTCCACCCCATGGCCCCCTTTCAGCCCTGCTTTGCCAGGGGAACAGCAGAAGGACCTGCCTGCTCAGGATGGGCACAATATCCTTCTTGCACAATATCTGCGCTCTGCACCTTGCCCAAGCACTTTTACTCTTCTCCCCGTGGTTATTAAGGTATAAGAAAAGCAGCTCCCACGGGAGCACCTTCACAGCTGACTTGGGACCCAGGCTTTCTTCCCTGTGCATCCTTGCTTGGGTGAGGGGGGCTGCCCAGGGTGCTGCCACTGTAGGAGTGGGGTGCTCCCATCCCTACCTGATTGGCGTGGTAGCTGTTCAGCCAGCGCTCGATGTGGGTGGCGTACCAGCCTGGCACCAGGCAGCGGTTCTGCAGGGTCCGGAGCTTCGGAGCAGCCTCGGGTCCTGCTGTGATCACCTCGTGGAAGGTGTATTTCAGGGCAACTGGGTCATCGTGAGCTCGCTGGTGCTGTCAGGCATGAGCAAGGCAGGTTTGTTCCTGGGGCAAACCAAATCCTGGGCTGCCCACGAGGCACCGCAGCTCCCAGGCCATCATACCGTGTTCTCACATGTCTTGTTCCGCCAAAAAACGCAGTGCCCGCAGCCACCCAAACCAAGCTGACAGAGGGAAGCCCGTGGCCCACCGCCCCACAGGGCTGCTCAAGCCGGGGGAGAGGCAGATGCGGGCAGCTCACCTGATACCAGGAGTAGGCTCGATCTGCAGGGTTGATGAGGATGGTGATGACTTTGGCCTTGGAGAGCAGGGCCGCAGCTCGCCGAGGAGCCACTTCTGAGTCAAAGTAGTTGGCACTTTTCTCAAAGTAGAAGTCGGAAGTGGTGTTGGAGGGGATGGGGAAGAACTCCATGTACCTGGGGGAGGCACAGCATGAGGCAGGCAGACGAGCACCTCAAGATGTCCCCAGCACATCCCTTGCAGGTGACTTCTGACAATCTGTACCACACACGAACACTGCAGGGTCCCCCCAAGGTCTGACACCCTGCCCAGGGGCTCCAGAATCCCCTCCAGCCAGTTTGGAGGGCCAGGCCTCACCAGATTCCCCAGATCTCCTGAAACCAGCGGGTAGCAGATGCACACACACGTACATGGCTTCTGCCAAGGGCACTTCTGAGGCTCAGCAAGTGGCCTTGGCCTTCACAACATCTCGGGGATAAACCATGGTGGTGTGGTGGTCTGAAGGCAGCGTGGCAGCAACCGCCGCCAATGTTGGCTGTACCGCAGACCTCTGCAGTAAGGCAAACTCTCCGACAACTCGACAGAGCTGGCGCTGGCATAAGCACACCCTTGCGAAGGGCAGAGCCCACGCAGGATTCGCCCCACCCTGCAGCACCCAGGTGCCCTCTGCCAAGAACCCAGTGGCTGCGAGGCCGATGGGAAAACCGCACGGCACCACTGCTCTGGTTCCTGAAGGAACCGGCGCTCCCAGCTCAGCCCCCGTGATGGGGAGACCTACCAGTCGATGCCCTTGTGATAGTTGTGTCCATTGAAGAACTGTATCTCCTCGAAGGTCTCTGAGCTGGGGTAGTTGCTGCTCAGGTCCGGGTGCATCCCCAAGAAGAGATAGAGGGCGGTCGTTCCTTCGGACAGACAGAAAGCGAGAGCTGACTTGAGCCAAACCTCCCTCCGAGCCTTGCTTCAGGACAGGAGGGCTGAGAGAAGCTCTCTGGGGGTCTGGGGGGGACCTGGCAACCCTCCCCGCATGCTGCTGGCATTGAGGTTGAAGGGAAGCACCTGTTTTTTGAGGCCCGATGATGAGAAGCTTTGGGAATCGGTCACAGGTCTTTTCTTTGGACCAAATGTCTTTGTGACGTTTGTCTTCACAGGGATCCTGAAACGCAGCGGGGGACAATTAGAGACGGGGCAGCCTGGTCAGCACCGTGCACCTCTGCTGAGCCCCCTCCAGCCCAAGCAGACATGCGGGGAGGCCATGCTGCTCAGTGGGCAGGGCAAAGACCTGGGTTATTTCCAGCTCTATGGGGCAAACTCCTTCCTGGCACCATCCACAGAACCACAAAGAGGCAAAACACCTCCTATTCCTCCCATTCCAGGCACGAGGGGTACCTGCCACAGCGGGTCCTTCTCCTCAGAGAAGATCTGGAAGTATTTCTGTGCCAGCTGCACAGGCGGCAGCGTCTGCAGCTTCAAGTTGGTCCAGGAGTTGAGGAAGCGGACCAGGTGCTTGAAGGTGTACAAGCCCAGGCGGTCGTTGCCATAATTGGACAGATGGGTCATGAAGATGCTGATCTGAAGCAGAGAGGATGGAGCAGGGGTTAGCAGTCTCACCCAGCAGCTGTCCCACACAAACAGCTCCTATCCTGGCCAAGAAGGTTGGGGACATTGCCCACAGTGGCACCGGGGGACGGCTCTGCAGAGACACCTGTCTGTCTGTCCCTGGGTAGCCGGATGGCAGTACTCACAGGGTTGAGGAGCACGGTCAGGAACAGTTCACCCCCATTGATGATTTTGTCCAGCTCACTGGAGCCACCGGGGTACTCATTGTAGAAGATGGTGTGTGTGAAGAGGCCGCAGGTTTGCCGGGGGAGTACCTGGGGCAGGAGAAAGACATGGATAGAGCATCCAGGGCTGGGTCTCCTTCTGCTTCCCAAATGACGGTCCTCAACCCTCAGTCCCTCCGAGGTCAGGATTGGCTCCCCTCTCCCTCAACCACCTTTGTCTTGAATTCTGATGCCCACACAGGATGGAGGTGGACAGATGGAGAAGCCAAAAATTGTCCTCACATGAGCTTCCCCCATGCAGGACAAGCAGAGGGCACAGTCCCCTCAAATCAAAGATTCTGGACTGCCCAGAAACCACCTGCTGAGGTTCTGGGTTTTGGTGGGGGAGGGAGAGGAGAGAAGCACCAGAGATATAGCCTGGCTACCTACCATGATGCCATTGTGGATGAAGCCACGACGATAGCGAGCTGGTTTCAGGTGGGGGTATTCCTCTGTGCTCGTCACTTTGATCGACCAAACCTGCTTCCAAGCTTCGTACAACTGCACGTGGACGGGGTACACGCCCGAGTGGTGGGGGGCCACAGCGTACCCCATGTCAGTGGGGATGCCATGCTCCTGCAGAGAAGAGAGCAGGGAGCAGGTGACCATGGAGCCTGCAAAACCACAACGTCCCAAACCAATCTCTCCCCAAGGGACTGCCCATTCCCAACTACAAACAGTCAATTTGTGCCTCTGGAGAGCAACCAGGGCCTGCACATCCTCTCCTAACCAGGGCTGTCTCCAGGAAAGGGAGCCCAGCAGCAGACACGCTGGGTGGACACTCGCTCCTCTGCTTCACGTGGACCACCCTCATCCCTGCCATTTCTGCTGTCACCAACAGAACAGCAGCAGCAAAGCTTTTCTGTGGAGAATGAGGAGATACATCTACACAGGACTGTAAATTACAGTGTAAATTGCTTTCTATCAGTAGACATAAAACAGCCTGGAAATTCTGAACTGGACAACTGCCCATCCCAAGTATGGATGGTCCGCTCTCTCTAAGCACGCACCTCTCATTATCAGACAACTAATTCAAGTTAGCCTGAAGATCCCTCTCTTAGGCCATAGGACCAAATTATTATTACTGGGTCTGGCTTTACTTGTTTGGATTCAGGACAGCTGTGAGCAAACCAGTTGATCACAGCATGATCAGGTGTCAATGCTGGCTTTATCCAGGGCAGATAAAGGACAGTCCAAGAATGGACAACCCCTTACCAAGCTGAAGGTCAGAGCCTGCCTTTATAGAGAGAGCATGTCCCCGACAGCTCAGCCTGCAGAGGGAGTTTCCATTAGCTGGAGCCTCCTGGCACGTGGCCTCGGCTCCAGGATCCCACAGCACTGCCCTGCACAGTATCAAACCGTGCCGGGCTGAGCACCGACCCCGGGCTCAGTTAAAACCCAGCACACAGCAACCCAAGCAGCCGCTTCCTCCCACAGAGCCACGGATCGGACCCCCACGTCCCCCAGGTCGGACCTCCACATCCCCCCGGGGTCGGACCTCCGCATCCCCCTGGCCAGGCAACGCACAGACCATGTCTCCCCTTGAGCATGCACAGGCACGGCTTCCTGCCACAGCGGCACGACGGCCGATGCAGATAAATGCTTCTCCTCCAAGTACTAGCGTATAAATGGATTTACCCACCCAGCTGCAACATGGGGATCGTGCCTTAACGTCACCAGGTCCCTTTGCTCCAGCAAGCAGAGACCATCATCCAGGTCCCTCGGGAAATCTTTTTTTCCCCCCCTTCTCCCATCCTCCCCCCACCACAAGCATCCCTGCCGGCGGCATCTTACTCACGACAGCGAATTTCTTGTTTAAGGTCATCTGCTCAGCGAGAACCGACTGGTTGTGGAAGAGGTGAGGCTGCATGTGGCTCCACATGTGGGGGAACCACCAGAACTCCCTCACGTAGGACAGCAGCAGGTCGTCGCCTTCGTCCTCGGCATCAGTACCTGTGGGCACGACACTCACTGTCACCACCGGGCACAAGCAGCAGGGGCAGAGGGAGGGGGAGCCCCTCTCGGTGACCGGGTGATGGGGGTCAGCGGGGTGGGATGTCCGAGGACCCTCCCGCGGCCCCAACTTCAGCCTCTATGAGCACCGGTTTGCGCCCCAACACCAGCCATATGGCACCAACACGCAAATCGATGCCCTCGCCCTCCTCACCCGTGTGGAAGAATTTCCCTGAGTATCCCAGGTTGAAGGTGAAGTTTGGGATGTGGGTGCGCAGCTCGTTCTGCGTGTCGAACAGTGCCTGGGAGGGGGGGAGAGAAAGCAAGATGTCCTCAGCATGCTGCCGTGGGGACAGCTGCCACGCCAGGGCGAGGACCCGTGTCCCCGAGAGCTTCACAGAGGGGCTCCCAGGGGGGCAGGGGGTGCTCTGAGGACAGGAAAGCTCATCCCTGGAGCATCCCAAGCGTCCAGCCCCATGCATCCCCTGCCCACCCAGCCAGGACATCACAGCCGCACCTTGACATCTTCCACCTTCATGCGCGTGCCCTCCTTGCCCACAAAGATGTCGTCGATGTCCACCAGAATGTAGCGGTCGAGGGGCAGGGAGAGCCTCTTGCCCGTCAGGAAGGAGACAGAGTCCACGAAGACCAGCTTGTGCAGCCAGAAGTTGAGGTTGTTGCCAAAAAGCACCCTCTGGATGCCATCATGGAGGCCCAGGTCCTGCATCACGGTGGTGTGCAGCGCTGCGTCCACGCTCATGTGTGGGATGGATTCGGCCGATTTGGTCTTGGCCAGGAGGACCGGTTCATAGGTGGAGTGGTTGGACTGGAAGACGGTCCAGTCCTCCCCGGGGAGCACACCCTTCTCCACCTCGCTGGGGCGCGTGATGTACAGCAAGGGCGACTTGGGGTTGATGCTGCAGTCCTTCAGCGCCAGGTTGGAGTGGAGGAAGAGGGGGAAGCCCTTCAGCTGGGCGCTCAGCAGGCTGTTCTCGTTGGCCTGCATGGGGGAGATGGGGGCTAGAGGAGACGGGACACCGGGGACAAGTGCCCAGACTGGCTGTGCAGGCAGGGGCTCACCAGGGACACTGACAGCCATGGCAAGGGGGTAGGTGGCTCACCACCCCCAGAGATCTGGGTGCCAGGTGTCCCCAACGCTTCCCTTCCCGAGCACAGGATGCCCTCACCCCCCTCGCACACTCAATCCTGCTCACGTCCAACATGTAAAGCCTCCCGGCACTGTGAGCCCTGGGCAGGAGAAAGGCAGGGGGCTGCTGAGCAAAATACCTGCTCATGCTTTTGGTGAACCTTAGCAAGGGTCGCTGCTGGGAAACGGGGCGCTAAAAGCAACCGGAGAGATCCCAGAGGTGTGTTTTTACCCCCAAATCACTCAGGGGCCACAGAGCCCTTCCACAGGAACAGGGCTAAGATGGTGCCCTCTGCTAGAAGCCTGTGCCCCACACCAGGCTGCGGGCCGGCTCCACGCCAACTGCGGCTGCTTGCAGAAAGCAAGGGGAGGACAAAGTCCCTGCAGGGCAGCGGGACCCCAGTCCCCTGCTCACACCTGCCCTCATCACGGGGTCTTGGCTCACCCCATGCACCCCTTACCTTGAAGAAGCCGATGATGCCCACGCCGTACTCCACGCAGTACTTGTCCAGCAGCTCCCGGTTCCAGGCGTCCAGGTTGACATACTTGAGGATGTTCTCGTAGATGATGAGCGCAAAGCGTCCCCGGTCCTTGTCAGTCAGCGTGGGCATGTCCCCCTTCCCCGGGGCAATCTCTGTCCTGTATTTGAAGCGACTCGACTCCAAAATGGCCACGATCTCCTGGCCCAGCTGGGAGTAGAGGCTCTCCACGAAGACCAGCACCAAGGGGTCGGTGCGGGACGAGTCAGCCACCTTGAGCGCCTTCAGCGGCAGCAAGCGGGAAGGGGCGACCTTGGGCTCATCACAGTCCGGCCCCGCAACGTCCCCGGAGGGCTCCAAGCCCCTTTTCCACCCATATAAATAATACGCAGAGATGAAAACACTGAGCAGGCAGAAGACGAAGAGCAGGAGCAACACCACCTGCGGAGAGAGCTGCCGGATACCCCGCCGGGCCCT